TTGAAATCCTCTAAATTAACATATTATATTGATAAGAGAGTTAACGGTTGGACAGAATTGTTTGTTTCTTAATTTAACATGTCAATCAAATACGTGGAAGTACAAGTCAAACAGGCCGTATTTTGTTCTGTCATTGAGATTTGTAAAGAGTAATTTCGTTCGAATTTTTTCAAAATGTGATAATTTTAGGTATGTAATTTCTCTGGAAATTGCGAATGGTGGCAATTATTCGTTTTAGAGAACTTGTCTAAACGTTCATTGAGCGAAATTTGGGGTTGTGTTTTCTAAAAGTGACAGCGTGACAGTTCTCATTATTGACTACTAGTTAATAATAAAAAATTATTAACCACTTTGAACAAATGCCGAAAATGCCTACTTTACAAGTGGAAAAAAGGTTAATAATCATGTCATCAGACGCTAGTAGTGAAAAAACTTATATCGGCCCACCGATTGACTTTCGAACAACGTTGCCAAACTTCTCAGCATGGCTTGTAATTATAGACGGCTGTGCTACTGTTAACGAGGTTTCAAAGTGGTAATAAACATCTATTGACATGAAAGCGAGATGGCGATGTTTTCCTCATCGTTGCCAACTGTACTAAGTATAGGGTAAGTCAAAATTGCAGTGCCCAGTCGCGAACCCCTAAGATCATCAATAAAATGTCTTATAAAAACCTCGGCGATGGCATGTGTCTATATTATACTGCTTAAAAATGCGTCCTTAACTATTGAAGATGATATTTCGGAACAGGAGCTTACGAGTTATGACACTCAAATGGTTTGGGATAAACACATAGGTACAGTTCTGGACTTTTTTAATGGAAAATTTAATCCGTTGCAATTATAATGTTTGCTTCACAATTCAAACAGCAGTTCGTACGTTTCTGTCATCTTACAGCACTTACACCGTGATGCAAACACAGAAAGATGTAAAAAGTTACCTTTGTTTTTCGAATATAAAGACACAATTGCCCAAAATCGCGTGCAATTTGTAAGTAACTATCCACGTTCACAGACGAATGCCGGTCCACAATCCATAGTGATCGTAGCTCATGTTAAGCCAATATGAAACTTTCAGAATAGAACGAATTGAAAGGAATAGAACTATGCGCTCCGATGCTATTAACGTTGCGGTTTGATTTCAGTTGTATTTCAATCCGGGATGGACCGCCAATGGAGCTACAGATCACATATTCCTCTATGAATGGTGTAATATGGATCTAATTTATTTACGACATACCGGCTCCCTTTTTCCCAAAACGAAAGTCTCTCCTGTTAGTCTCTTTCTTCGGCTATTCGCACTTGTTGACTAATGATCCAAAATTTAAAATGGAAAAATTAATTAATATCGGTACAAGGCCGATGTAATTAGAATGGGGTGGATACCAAGGTGGATAAGTGACGGGTAACTCAGCTGCGAATGTGTAATAAGAAAACTCAATTTATTAAATATTTGTAATATAGACAAATACAGGTACCACGATTATAAATATTACTTTATAAAAATATTATATGTTACACAAAAATTGACAAAATGTACACTATATATTTACAATTTTACAGGAAGTGGGCAATTACTAACAATATGCACGGAACATTACATGACAACAGCATACAATACGACTGTTTATAATACATAAATAAATAAAACTTAGTAAACTAAAGGTTTAAGCGTACATAACAATATTTTATTCTTCAATGTTAAAAGCATTGTCGGCTAAAATATAAAAGTATGGAATAAAAGTTATGGCTTAAGCGTTAAAACAATCGTAAGTGATTGAGACTATAATACATATAAATAAATTAAGAAATATCATTAAGAAAGAAGTTTTCCGATAATTACATTATATTCACAGATTAACTTTCAAATCAGTCTTTAATAAGAGACACGCAATTCACTTAATAGCAATAGTTGCGGATATTACGTCAATACTTAAAACGAAACACATTCATTTAGGAAATTTTCGAGTTCGAGGAATTTGTATTGAATTGAATGGAAATATCTGCGCGATTGTTTTATATGCAGTCGATCGATCCGATATGCATACAGTTTGTAATCGTTAGCGAGGAATGTTTTCGTCTTTACGTAGTGACTTAATAACCAAAAATCACAATGTCACGAAGAATCTAATTATAATTCTATTCATATTAATACTGATAACACCTGCAGGATTTGCATTCGCGATCTAGTCATTTTATAACATAGTCCTTTTGTTTTATATGCCCGTAGGTTACAGACATGTATGCACTGTCTTTTTCGTTCGACATACATCACATTTTACCTCACAGCACCAATGAAAGGTACAGTTGCACCTTTCGACTACGTCCACCACTTGTGTGCGATACCCTCGTCCGCAACACAACAGATCACATCCATCGACCCCTATCGAAGTATCGTTGCATTGCCTACCGTGCGTTCCCTGTATCCCTAATTTCGGATTTCGGTCACAAAATCCCGGTGATGGTTCGTAGTAGACCAGGTCCTTCGGTCCCGGCGGCTTGTGCTCCGGATTGTAAGGCTTCAACTGAAAGCCGTATTTCTGTTTTCGACCCTTTCCTTCCCGTCGATTGTGAATACTGTTACTGTTAATGTTGTTACTTTTGTTGTATTTGTTGTTATGCGCGTTGTTGCTGTGTGCGTTCCCAACGTTGCTTACCATCACCCGAGACGCACCATCGAAACGGTCTTTCAGAGTATCGCCGATTACTCGAAACGGTGGAAGACGCATCCAGCAGGTTTTTACCGTGCAAGAACCCGACATGCCGTGGCACTTACATTCCTGGCGCATTTGGGATTGTACGTGCTGACAACAAGAAAATGCTGTTAGATATTATACTGGACATCCATACATAGTAAATAATGAAAAGCTACCGGTTACTTTTACTTATATTCACGGTTAAATAGGCTTTAAAACATTCCAATTCGACTAAACTGTATAAATTTATATGCAAATGCGGCGTAAATAATAGTTACTTTGTCTCAATAGAATTAATACCAACGTAAAACGGTCTTACCGTTTTCATTTAATCTGATAATCATTTCGTCTTCCTTGATAGTTATTCGTGAATGCGATGTCAAACACTGAATACCATGTCTTACATTACAATTTCAGGCGAGCTTTTGATTCCATAATTTTGATGTAGGATACGATAGTTTACTACGCTTTGGTATCTGTCTCCAGTAAAATTTGTATCTAGGCAACAGGAGGCAAACCAAGGAGATTTTCCCAACTTTAATCCTTGGACTAATTGCACCGCCAAAGTCGCTTAAACTTAAGCATAATATAAATGCCAGGGCAACCATTGTCTTAATAATCGTTGCCATAGATTTTGAGTTTAATCAAGGCTTAAATTTGTAGGTGCAAACGGTCATAAAAGGAAGAAAAGTTACCCAATCAAAGATCTAAGAACATAGTGTTTAGAAGCCTCTGAAGAAAATTTTGATTTTTTAAGTATTTTAAAAAATGGGATTTTTCTGTTAATTTTTTTGTCGTTCTTGCGGAGCCATCACAACTTCATTTTTTGAAATACGACCCTGATATTCTGATATCATAACCGTAATTGTCCTTTTCATTATGAATTTAATGATGTATGATAGCACTCTATTCTTTGGCTTAATTACGGCTTAGCATTAGCATTTTTTCGGCGTAATTAAGAAAATTCCGAATTTTTTTTAATATATAATTACCTAGCTAAGACAATTAACGTCTACGTCTATATCAGCTCCCTATATAGGGTGTAGATATAAGTACCTATATAAAAAAAAATTTGGATGGTAGAGGGGATCAAAACAAGCAGTTTTCTAAACCAAAAATGGTGAAATTTTCATTTCTTCTTTAATTTGTGCTCAACATTTTTTCGAATTTTCAAAAACTAATTTCAGTTTCGTGATTTTGATGTTCAAAAACCCCCAGATACCAACTTTTCGTCAAAATCAAAAATTTTTTCGCACCCTCACTTAGGGGGTCACCCTTTTGTGGTAGGAATTTTGAAAAAAAATTTTCAGAATCAGAATACCCGAAAACCTATTCAAAAGACGTGCCACCAGTCTTTCTAACTCTTATGGTTGCTGAGAAAGAAATTAAAGAAGAATGCAAATTTCACCACTTTTTTGGGGGTGGCTCTCAAACAAAACATGATCCCCTCTACCACCCAAAATTTTTTTACATACTTATATGGAACACCCTGTATAATAGCAATTGATACAACTTAATAGAAAAAACAAAACCAAAAAATTAAATGAACAGCAGATGTAAGAATTCAAATACTACAACAAACGAGTGTGAATAAAACCGCCAAATTTAGAGCATATGTTCGAAAGGATTTCCATTATTTTCTAAACACATATAGCATCTTCTCGCCGTATTTAGGCAACATTTGTGAAATAATTCTAGCAAATTCTTTCAGAACTAATCCCCTCAGTTCTCCTTGCGTTCTTTTTCTAATAAACACCCACATACGAAGAATCAAGTGGGGTTATATCGGCGAACACGCTGGTCAGGGTGTTTCAGAATGCGTGCTAGTCACTTTTTCTGGAAATCTCATTGAAAGATACTCTCGAACGAACGGCTCTAGAAATATGTGCAGGTGCACCATCCTGCTATAGTTGAGAACTCTCGCTAAGGGCATGTTATCAAGAGCATCCTCTAAGTCGTTTTGCAGTAAATGCAAATAGCGCTCTGGTGAATAAACGATCCTACAATCCTATTGTACCAAAAATACCAATCCACATGTTAAAACCGTAACGCTGCGCTGTTGAATATTGATGCCTTGACGTTGTGTGTAATCGTGGACTAGTTCCAAACCAATAGTGAACATTTTGTCTTAAACCCTTCTGTAATACGAATTTTCTTAACCAAGTCAGAAAAAAAGGTTCAATGGTGTAATAGATGGTCACTTTTCCGTTTCAAAAATCTGGTTTTGAATGTGTTTTTATTCAACATAGGAAAATTTACACATATATCGCCTAATAGCGAACGCGAACGAAAGTATGTCTGAAAATAAAAGTGATATGCAACGTGTACATCTTGGATGCTTTTATTCGCATTACGTACGGACTTTTTTCCGCCAAAGTTTTGCATTCATCACGGAGTCGACTGTAACGTCGAAGGGACCTGGTGCCATATTTCTAAAAGAAAGCGACATTTTTCAAGGATTATTTGTTACCAGAAGAGAATATTATGCACGTCAGTTACGGTGATTTGTATAAACTAGTGGTCGATATTTTTAGGAATTTGCGTAAGTAATTTTGTTTGAAATAATTTTAATATTCCTAAAGGAATCGACCCGTGAAAATTATTTGCATGGATTTTGTATTATATTTATTGATAAGAATCAACCCCAAACAAAGGATTACAATGATTCAATCATTCCTTTACTTGGATTACAATTTTGTTTAGCATTCAGATGTATGTGTATATTTAAAACAGTAGAATGTAACAGTAATTTATTATGTGGTAAAGGTGAATTTTAATGAGGATCAAATTTAGCACTGACACATCACGAGATATATATTGCATTTTCTTGTATTTTGAGTCAAACAACTTGCAAAGAAACATGGAAATTGATCTGATCGCCTTCATTTTACTTATATATTCAATCAATTGGGTTCACGAGCCTATTCATTTAAATTAAATCAAACTTCTTAGATTTGTTTGATGCTCCTTACAAGTTTCCCTTAAGTTATCCTCAAATTACTTTCAACTTCAGTCCTTAGTTTCTTCTTCAATTTCTCTATAAGTTAAGCTCATACCAAGCTCCCCTAAAATTGTTCCCAAATTACTCTCAAGTGCGCAGGTTTCTAGCAGGGTCTTAGGTCCCTCAAATTACTTTCACCTCCACTTCTTCAATTTCTCATTAAGGTAGGTCTCCAGGGTCTCAAGTTTTCTCAGAAATTCTTCTCATATTTGTCAGGTATTTCCAAAGTTTTCTCTAGATTTTCTCAAATTCCTATCGAATTTTTTTCAAACAATTCTCATTTCTTTGTTATAATTCCTTTAATTTCATCTCAAGTTTATTTATCATTGATATCTAGTACCTCTCAAATCCCCACATTATCCTCAAGCTTTCACGATACTCCAATGTATTCTTAAAAGCGTAATTTAAGAGCGCCTGAAGTTTTCTTTGTTAAATTGGTCCCACGTTTTCATATTCCCCTCGGGCCCTCTTGTCAAGTTCGCTTTCAATTTCCTTCCTTCAACCTTTCTCTGAAATACTTTTCAAGGTCTCTTCAAATTTCCTTCAAATTTTTCACGAACAACCCACTTTTTAACGACGTTTATAGAAAAGATCATTCATAGCTGGTGGGGTCCGTAGACCCAACACAGAGTAATGCTTGCTGAAGATTTTTTTATTCGTCGAACGCCGAAACGAAGAAAACTATTAACATGAAATAACCATTAACAAAAAAACAATGCACTGTCCGGGAAAACCCCATAGAAATCTTTTTGAGGTGCTTGTAAATTATCTTCTATTACCACCCTAAATGAAAATAATCGTTACCACTTTGAAATTCACTTTATTTATGTCGTGGTCAGAAGTCCTCAGTAACTTTCATTTCAATCTTAGGGGGTTTCCTCATTTTGAAAAGATGCTCAAAACTTACAGGAGATCTGGTATACCTATTAATTATGTGCTACACGTGAGATAATCAAGGGACATTACCTCTGACCAAAACTGTACTTCTAATATGCTCTAGAGGTACATCAGTCACTGCTATAACCTTATTAACGAGCTCCTAGGGAGTTTATAATTTTGCGGTGTTGGTCCGTCTGCCCGTCCGTCCGTTAGCCCTATATTTCGATATCGATTACCGATTACGATGAAATTTTGTAGGTGGATTCTTTATCAAATTTGTAGATCGCAGTTCGTGAAGGGGATATGTAGATTAAAAAATAAGGAAGGCCCTTTTGAAAACTCTGTTACTTATGATGAACCGAGTTGCATCAAATTCTGTAAGTTTGGCAAGTGTGCATTGTATTTCTAGAGCCTCAGTGTACTTCAAGGTTCGGACGGAGTATGTATAGTTCACATTGGTATATATATGGGTCCATGACATTTCGGTCCCGCCGTTTTGGTCCCGCCATTTTGGTCCCGCCGTTTCGGTCCCGGTCATTTCGGTCCCGGCCGTTTCGGTCCCGGTCATTTCGGTCCTACAATCTATTTTTCTCTATCACCAGTACATTGTTTAATAAATAAAAACTTTTTCTTTAATGCGAAATTGTATTCAATGTAATTAATAATGACTTTAATCACACTGCCACAACACAATGAGACAGATGTTATAATTATTCCAAATTTTTAATAATAATCGTTAGTTAATTACCTTGCACACTAAGTGATAGTTAATAGCTTGTTAATTTGTTGTTGACCCTTTCTCCTATTAACTTATGCTTTATAGCATATTAGGTGTTGGTCACCAAAATTATTTGTTTGTAACAATAAACGATATAATTCCTTGGTTTGTTGTGTAATCATATTACTTCTGTTACAACTGTTAGTTAGTGATGATGGCAGAATTATTATCGCAGAGAGGTGGTTTAAAAATTGCTCATCACGGTCACTTGTTCTCATTTCATAAGAAAAGTAGTGATGGAACATTAAGTTTTTGGCGATGTGACAAACGAACTTCCGAGAACTGTAAGGCTCGACTGCATACAGATGCGAATGGAGATGGGTAGTGGAAAGTGTTGAACGAACATTCACATGGGGCCAATCCTGGAGGTATTGAAGCTGTCAGAATTCAAAATCTTATTAAAAGGCATGCTGAAACAACCCTAAGCACACCGGCAAATATTATCAGTGAAGCTTTACAAGATGTGGGT